TAAAGAATTTAAATAAAGTATTTAATTTAATTATTAAATATATGTTTTGAAAAATTACTAGTTAATTAGGATATGTGAGGTAGACCATTTTTATTTTTATTCATATTATATGTAATGACTATTTAAAATCATAAATAATAATTTTTTCTAAAATTTGAAAAATCTTAACCCAACCCAACCCAAACTGTACGGGTTAGTCGGGTTAGTTGGGTTGATCGTGTTGATACTTTGATACATTAAAATATTATTCTAGTCTTGAATATGTTATTTCTCTACTCATAATTTATTTTTCATTAGCAACCATTTGATACAACTTATCAATATTTCTTACATGTATCATGTTCAGTTAATTTTCTCAATTTACATATATATGTTAACAGTTATTGGACATATATACGAATGTGTTATATAGAGATGTGAATAGATTGAAAATATGTGTATATAAAAAGCGTACATGATAGTGTAATTGTCTAATGTATATATTAATATAAATTCAACAATCATATTAAATCCAATAAATAAAAAGATATCGGGTTCATCGGTTTGGGTTGTGTTCAAATAAAAGTAACTCAATATCAACTCAATACTTACGGTTTAAAAAATTTACAACTCGATTAGACATCAGGTTGTTTCGGGTTGAGTTATTTCGCCTTAAGTTGGGTTGGGTTAATCGGGTTTGATCGGGTTGGTCGAGTTTTTGAGCACCTCTACCAGAAGCTCTAAAGATCTCTGGAAAAGCAAGTCAGAGGCCCAACAGTTGAGAAAATTTCAGGGGATTTTCGTTTACAATATTTTTGCAACGTATCAGACGAGGATCATAACATTAACACTACTTTACGAGAATTCAAATCAAGCCACACTTGCAATAACTTTGACACAGATGATCCAACTTTAGAAGTCTGGTTTCTATAAAATAAAATTAAGAAAATTGATACAGATTCTTTTACCTAATTTGTATATTCGACATAGAACGTCATAATGGAAAACCTAAAGCTGGTTTGTGGGGTCGCTCAACTACATAGTTTCATAGTTGAGGCCCTGATAACATGCACTAGCAATCTTACGAGAAAACAAGCCGAGGTAAAGACCCAGTTATTGAGAAATTAACTGAAATCTAAATGTTAAAACTGTATTTTTTTCTGTTTTTGAAGATCATCTCATTTAAGATATGCAACGATATCAATAAGTATTATTTGGGTTTAAACGTTAAAGACGTTGATGTATCACTAATAGCTTACATGGCAACCTTCTTGTCATTTTAATATCTGACGTGGAACAGTTTCTTTTTCTCTCCGTTCAGTATTTAGCATATTTTCATTTTTACATAAACCCAATTAGATAATATAGTAAACTATGTTTTTCGTCTATGTGGTTTGTTAAAATCGTGATTTTTGTTCTTGTACTTTCAAAATTACGGTTTTCGTTCATGTGGTTTGCAGTTCATTGTTGTTTTCGTCCCTAAAACTAACTCCGTTAGTGGTTTATCGTTAAAGCATGAGGGACAAAAACACCAATGAATTGTAAATCACATGGAAGAAAACCATAATTCAAAAAACAAAGGGACAGAAATAACAGTTTAAACAAACCACGAGGACCAAAAACATAATTTACCCTAAGGTCTTGTTTAGTTTGCGGGATTGAATTGGATTTGGAGTTGAATTATATTCCAAACCCACCACAAGAAGACTCATCATGCTCGATAAGGTTTTGCCCTACAATCCAAATGGTACAAAGATCAGCTCTAATATCGTTCCTCATTTATGTCTTAGGGGTCGTTTACCAAACACTTACCCGATAAGCGCTTATCAGTAAATTTAACACTATCATTTACTTACCGGGTAAGAATTTAATCCACCAAAACGGTATTTTATACAACAATTTACCTGGTAAGCGCTTACCATGGTAAAAGTCGTCGTCCTCACTTACCGGGTAAGACTTTTGGTCTTTTTCTCGCTCTTACTGGGTAAAATTTTTGGTCCTTACCATATTCATCCGGTAAGATAAAAGTAACTTGATATTCACCTACCCGGGTAAACGTTTTGTAAACAGCTCCTCAATTCATGTCCACAACCAAGAAGAAAGGCAATTTGCTAGCAAAATATATTCTTCCCAAAAATAGAAATAATGGCTTAGTTCTTCAAAGGGAAGCATGGCTACTGGAGTTTTTTGCAAAAATGGGTTGCTTTTGAAAAAGGTTTGTAAAAATAGGTTAGTTTTATTTTTGTTGGTAGAAATAGGTTAGTTTGTGTGGGACCCACCCATTTAAAAAAAATCTGATTTTCTATATTTACAAGTTTTACC